TTTTTTAACATGCACATGGGCCATAAACGTACACGGGGCCAACTGCTAAACGCCTCATCCGAAGGACGGTACTCTATTGTAACTTGTATTTCAGCCCTCCAGTTGAAACACAAGCAGCACACACACAGTGGCTACTACCAGATTAGCCGACTGAGCTAAGCTGTTCTCTGTAGTACAAATGAAATGTGGTTTCCAATGTTTTGATAAAGAAATCACTCTCCTGCAGTGGTGCTTCAGATATACATTCATTGTTCTAAAGCTTTTTGATTTCCAACAGCATCCAGTGACATTGCTTCCACCTGGTGGGGGTCCAGTAGAATTCCTTTTGCCTAGAGAAACTGGGCAATTTTAGGCAGATGTGGACAGAGAGGGCCTGGCACGCTCAGACACGATATCTATTGAGAAATAAATAATATTGATATTTATTCAGATATGTCATGGCCAATGGGGAGGTGCCTAAAACATACCCTCCTGTGTGCGGACCGCATATCATTTTTGTGTAGAAAACTCTTTGGGCCAAATGCTGATTCATTTGTAAAAAGTTACCGTAATATTAAAACTGAACATAAACCGGTCATGCAGTGCATGAATATATCTGCAAGCACGGTAAATGTCAAAGTTTTGGTGTGGCCCTAAGTGTTAAATCAAAAATATATTTTTCAGCCCACTCAAGATGTATGCCCACCCCTAAATATTACACAACTTGTCTTATTCAGGCCTTTCATGACGAACCACTTAACTTTGTTCTCTAGTGAGGCTATGAAGATCCCACTTAAACATTGTTAATATTAGGATTATCCATCAAAACCAATTATAATTTTCTGAATGAAACTATTTGTAAATACTCTGGTTAACAAGTTTGGGTGGGTGCCAAAAATATTTCTGCATACTTCTACCATACTGCTCTATAACCAAGGGAGATCAGGGGATTGAAACCTCCCCATACAAGTAAGTTCTGTTCAGATCATAAATTGATTCCCCTTGTTGAATATAGGCCTGTATGACACATGCATATTATTTAATTTTACATATCAACAATGTGCACATACACTTGCTAATAATAGGATTTGAAATTAAGTTCATTGTTTATCAAATTATTTTTGTACATAAAACTAGAAATATCAGGGCTGTAGCCACAAGAATTGAAGCGGTCAGGTTGCGAGCGAAGCGCGAGCACCGATGATTGGGGCTAGGGGGCCGCCAAGAGCCCCAGGTCGGGGTTCAGGGTTCCGGGCCATTAAACCATTAAACTGTAATATTATTGTAAACCATTAAACTGTAATATTAATAACATTAAGCCATTAAACTGTAATGTTATTAAATTAGACCAATCAACACATAACATGTATATAATGATACTGTACAATATTATGCTAAACATTTACAGAGTGGACTTCCTTATGTTGTGGTCGTATTAGACTGTAATATTTTTTATTGAAGAAGTCCATTCAACAAACAACATAAAACATATCAAAATTATTAAGTTAAAACTTTCTACTTCGGTGCATGAATATAACATAATTTTGGGATATATGAGATTTACATAACATTTGAGAATGTACTGAATATAAAATCTAATATTTATATTTTAATCAGCAATCTATCAGAAATACGGGGTTTTGTTATACTGTAAAGCCTTCTGAACTCCTGCAATACTAAATCTGGGATCCAACTGGCAGTGAATATTCCATTTTGATTTAGTGTAGATGTTTTTTACATAGATTTTATTTGAATTCTTTTTATTTTGTATGATTCATATGTTATATTTTCCACAGACAGATAAATGAATGCCTGAACTGATATTTTATGGGTTTCATATTACTTTTCTATACAAAACAGATATCATAAAATCATCTATTGTCCGACTTGCGTGCATTGAACAATTGACGACGACGATAATGTCTCCAAATTTCCAACCGTAACTTAGGCTACAGGCCTCGCTTGACAATTCACATCAAAGGGCCTGTTAATTAATCTTGCACAGCTTCCTCCTCATCATCATCATATTCATCATCATCATAATTATTAATTGTGCATGGCAAAGTAGGGAAAAACTATGAATTCAGAGTGTATTCAATAAGACATCTCATACAGTGATGCACCTAGAAATCATCTAGAAAACAAAAACTTTTCGAAGGAGAAGCCGAAGACTCCCCCCCCACCCCATATCTAAAATTTGTCTTCCAGCGACAAAACAATTGCTAGCTCTCTTCTCATGACCCCTCCCACCATGGGAACCCATCTGTGCGGTAGCCAGGGTAAACTCTGGATCCGTGCTTGACATGTATTTAAGAGAAGTGCTTAAAAAAAGTATATTTATTCACAGAAAATAATGTTGCATACTAGAACTGTCATACAGATAAAGGCATGTTTTTTGCCTTGGCTTGGTACTTACTGAAGAAGTGAATATATGTCCTAGGCAAGTGTATGGAACCTTTAGTCTGATTTTCTGCAAAAGCTCACTATGTGTAGTAATTGACCTACTTGATTTGGATAAAAGGTTAGCCCACTAGACACTAAATTTCAACTGAAGAAAAAATGCATCCTAGTTTCTTAATCAGTCATTATAAATTTTACACTAATGAGAAGAAAATAATGTAAACTATCATTAATGGTTCCTGAGTTATGTAAGAAAGAGTAGATTGAGTCTAAACATACAGGTGGAATTTAGCCCTTTTTTTCCTATTCAAAAACCTAATTAATTAATTCGTGGTTTGTCAAAAAGTACCGTACCGGTACCAGTACAGCCCTGAATATCCTTGAGCGAGTGCCTACAATTTTTTTTATGCATACTAGAACGTACCAGTAGACGTCAGTGTTAAACTAACACATACATTTGTAAAACTGCATTTAAAACAAGACTCTGTGTTGCGACTCCTTTTTCGACTGTCTTCAAGTCTCGGCTCAAAACCCATCTTTTCTCTTTATTTTAATTCTGAAGTTGATACCTTTTCTTTTGGTTTTTTTAAAATTCTTAGATGATTTTGTAGTTTGCGCTATAAAAGTATATCACCTTTACCATATAATGCCAAGTTCATATAACCTTCAGATATTATTACACTGTCTGCATGGTTGCATCTTTTGTTGACAAGCTTAATTTTAAATTTATTTTTTTCAAATAAATCTATTATTCACATTTGGTAGGAATGTATTTATCTAGTCCCACTTTTTAGATCTCGTGATTATTTCGTGTCTTTTGCATTTTCGTTGTACAGTATGTGATTTTGTAAACTATGATAACCTTGAAACATAGGTCCATAAATGCATAGCAAACAACACTAGATATTAAAACGTATACATAAAAGGACGTAGCATGAAAGTATACATAAAAGGACGTAGCATATCATAATTATTTTGAGATCACGTTTTCAATCTTTGAAAAACACAATGTTGGTAGTCACATAATAATAAGCAATTATTGCCCCCCCCCCCGGGCCAACAGGCCTCATTTTGCCTACCTGTGGTCTACATATATGTAGTAAAATAGTATTAACTTGATGCAAACTTGATAGGCAACAACACATCATTGTTATTAGTTTCATTCATTTCGGATACTTTTATTATCTTACTAGAATAGGCAATATAAATAACATTGTTTTTAAATATCAAACCGGATGTTATTGGTTGTTAACCTGACTTTCAAAAATGAACACTGCGAATTCCTTCCTTTCCCGTTGGACATGGTTTTCGCAGAATAAATAAATGTATTTCCAGATGTGCACAGGTTATATAAAAAAAAATGAACCCCATGTGTAAGTATGAGAATTTAATATAGTGGGTGTTCTGTAGGTTGTTGACTCGTTGATGGAGGTTTGTATTGTGTATGATTTAAACCAAGAAAGTGTTCAGTGACACATTGTAAACTGAACACGTGTTGCATGCCCTAGTTACAATGACATTACAAG